AGTGTTAAACTTTGAGTTTTTGTTTCTAGACTGATCCAGCTCTTCTTCCAGTTTTGTTCGTGCTTCTTGTGTTCTTTGATTAAGCTTCTGGATTTGAACATTCTTGTTTCTGCATCTTTGCATCCAATTGCTAGCCACTTCTTGCTCTACCTCAAGTTTGGTGTTGAAATTCTTTCTTTCCAGCTCCCATTTTTCTTTTTCAACATTGAACTCTTCAATCCTTTGGCCTCTGACTTCAAGTTCGGCAATCAGCTGGTTCATTTCAGATTCAAATCCCTTGAACATGATATTTTTCTCACCTTCAAATTTATCAAAGATGTCATTCTTCATTTCCTCTAAATCTTTGGCTCGATCCCTTTCTCTTTGCATTTCATTCATGATCTCGCGATGTTCAGCTTTGTGTTTTATAATTCGCTCTCTTCTGTCAACCTCAAAATCTTCCATTTTTTGCTTTCCTTTCTCAAGGCTTTTGAGTAGACGGCTATTCTTTCCTTTCAGATCTTCAACTCGACTTTTCTCGATGTTCAATTCTCTGGTCATTTGTACTGTTGATTGGCTTGGTCCTGATGCTTTCTGGGATTTATATAACTCCTGGTAATTTTTCTTTAATGCTCTGAATTTACCATCAACGTTTTCTTTGTTTTCTCTCAACATTGCACATTGTGATGAATGAAAGTCAATGTCAACACCCAACATAGCTTTATCTCGTCTCATTTTCTCTAATTCTCTTGACCAATCTTCTCTTTCTGCTTCAAACTCAGCTCTCAGGATTTCAATCTCTGATGGAACCACCTTAATGCGATCTTCCATAGAGATATCCTCAGTTTGGTCTGGTAGAGGAATATTTTCATTTTTCCTGACAGATCTCCATTCCTCATAATCAGGAGTTAACATTTCTTTTGCTGCTTTAGCTCGGATACAAAAAGTTGTTTTCCAAGCTGTAAAGGCTTCCATGATATTTCTTTTATAATTTTTGCTGTGGAATGCGAACTCAGATGAATGTAATCCAGCAGTGACAGGTACAAATTGACGACCTTCATACTGTCTTATGACCAGAAGTGGTGCATATCCAATTCCTCCCCATAATCCAAGCAGCATTATCTAGTTGTAATCACCACATTTGTAAAAGAATTCCCTTTGGATTTGCCACGGGGCTCGCCAAACAATGTCATTGCTTTGTAGATTTCGAAAGGCATTAATCCACATATCTTTCTTAATTTCTTTCGGCCATTCTTGCTCCAGAAATTCTTTTAATGGTGAATAATCCGTATTAAAGCGCCGGTATGAAACCTTTTCTGTCTTCCAGAAATGGCTACGGATCCAAACATATAACAATTGGGTACACCCTGAGAATCGTCCACCTCCTAGCTTTCTACAAGCATTTAACGATCTGAAAGTCTCTGCTAGAATTGCAGAAGCATGATTAATATTTTTTGGTAGCTTCTCAAACAAATCTACTACTGCAGCTTCAATATATCCCAATACTTTTGGGAAGATGACCATACCATACATACCCAGAGCAAATAGATCTAATCGTACTTTAGTGTCTGGATGACTCTGAATAAGTTCTTTAATGTTGGTCCAAGCAATGCCTTCGCTTTCGCCCTTTTGTTTTGTACGGGATGCCACCCATTCTTCTCGTACCCCGGCAATCTTTGCTAATTTAACTCGAAAGTGTTGAGTTTTAAATGACTTTGAATAGATTCGATTCTCCAAAGCCCCTTCTATATGTAGCAAAGTTGTGTACTCTTCAATAGTAGGGACCAAGTCCTCCTTATTGAGAGTGAAGCAATTGTACCCTGGATTCCATAATTGAATTAGGGCTCGAAGTAAGTCATCATCAACTTCGACATAGAGCAAATATGGGATGTCTCCATAAGTATGATAAAACTGCAACTTTTTGTTTGAGTCCCAACTTTCCCAAATGCTTCGCAAATCTTGCATGTCATTTTTTTTAGCAAAACTGGAGCATAACTGGCTAAGTCAGATACATAGTTATCTTGCAGACTGTCTCCTCCTTGTCTTTGTAAGTCCTCAGCCCACTGTCTTACTTCTGAGTTTAGAACTATTTGATTTGAACACTTTTTATCCATGAATGAAGGCTTTCCAATGAGACAATTAACACGAGGATCAATGCCTTTTATCCTGTATGATGCTATGCAAACAGAAGAAATAAAGAACTCACAAAAAGAAATGAATTAGTTTACATAATAAAGAAATTTAATAATAATATCTACCTAAATATCCTTATTTAAACATGCTTTTTTAAATTCACATGTAATTTAATCAGTAAGAAAATAAATAAATAAATTAAAAGGAAAGTTAGAATTAATTTCTCCTGTGTGTACACCTATTTTGGACAAAATTTTGGCATGGCTTCAGATCGGAAGAGTTTCTAGGGTTTATTATATGCAGGGTTTCAGATCTAAGAATAAAGGTACCCGAACTGTCCTTGTTGATGCCCCCTTGGGCTATCAAACCCTCAATCCTAGTCCATTACAGACTTTAAACGGATCGAGTTCAATTCGAGGGGACACATTTCTCTATGCCTGACACGGAGAATAAATTCTCACGAAGACATAGAGTATATGAACCCCGAAAGTTACTTGCTAGGTCTGACACAGAGAATAAATTCTCATGAAGACGTCGCTTTCACTCCCACTTAAAAGGGACAAACTCAATTATAGAGCTTTATGTTATGCCATGCAAGTGTTGTGTGTGAGGAGAAATGTTCAAACCTCTGACAGAAAAATAATGAAATAAAATACTTGTAAATAAAATGAAATATTAATAAGAAAATATATAAATACTATGAAAATAATAAGTATATAAAAAATTTGAAAAGAAAGAATTATAAATTAAAATATGAATTTTTAATTTATAATTAATAGAGACAATTTATAATTGATTTTAAAAGTTTGACCAGTCCCCAGCGGAGTCGCCAAGCTGTCGGAACCGGTTTTCGTCCGGGCACGAATTTTTTACTTGGCGGGAAAAGTGATGTGAATAAATGGTTTTTAAAATAATTTGGGAGTCGCCATCGACCTTTTGGGTCAGGTAGGTTGAATACCTAAAAAAAAATATCTTTTAAAAGAGTTTTTAAGAAAGCATCAATTAAAAGATAAACTGATCTGCATTTTAACCAAAAATTCGTTCTTTTTAATAATAAAAAGGGATTCGTGGTCGGTTACATTTAGGGAAGGTTTAGCACCCCTACAACGCCCAAAATTGGTACTTTTTAATTATAAATTGTCTCTATTATTAGAAATTCAAAAATTCAAAAAATATTTAATTTATAATCCTATTATTTCAAAATTATAATTATTAGAAAAAAATAATTTATATATATTTATAAATAAAATATTTATTTATTTAGAAATATCAGAAAAGGACTTCTAGGTGCCTTAAGACATCTCTTTTCTTCGATATTAATAAATATTAATATAATAATTTAAATTAAATTATAATTTTTTATAATATTTAATTTTGAAATACCAGAATAGGACATCCAGTTGTATTAAGACTGTCCTTTTCTTCGATATTGAAAAATAAATAAATAAATATGATAAAAATAATTTATGTAAAAAAAATATAAATTATTATTTATTATATATATTTTATATGACTATATAACAATAATAAAAATAATATTTAAATATATAAACAAGTAAAATTAAAATAAAAATACAATTAGAACTATATATTTAAAAGCAGTAAAATAAATGAAAATATTTAAAATTAGTGACTAAATTATAATAAAATTAAAATTAAATACCTAATTCATAATTAATTATTTAAAATTATAGGGATTAAACATGCTATTTTCCTTATTTATTAATTTGGTGACTAAAATAAAATTATATAAAATTCGAATATCAGATTAAAATAAATACTCAGGATTAAAATATTATTTATTAAAACTAAAGGACTAAATACGTATTTTATCTAAAATATTTATAATTACGGTTAAGGGCTAAAATATAAATAAATAAAATTTAGAGACCAAATTAAAAGGATTATAAATTTGATTTAGTGACTAAAATGTAAGAATTACAAGTTAAGGGACTGCGGACGGGATTTAACCCTTAGTTAATTACACAAATAGCCCTCCCCGAAACGACGTCGTTCGGGAAGGGCTATTTAAAGCCCGAAACCGGCTGGCCCGAAGGGCCAGCTCTCATTTCCTTTCTTTCCTCTCTCTCTCTTCTCTGAGAGAATTCAAAATTCTCTCGCTTCTCTCTAAAACAGAGAGAAGCACACCGGCCTACAGCCGTTTGCCAGTGTTGACCCCGCCGCCGGCCACCGCCTTCGGTGGCCGGGAATTTTTTTTTACACTAAAAAGTAGATCGGACCGTCCTAATGACGGTTCCGGTGTTCTTTTCTTTTAAATAGCTCCCGATCAGAGCAAATCTAAGAAAGTACCTTCGATTTTCGAAGGTTTTTGGGGACGTTTGAAGAGGTCCGGCGGTCGTGGCTTCCTCGGTAAGCTTCTCTCCCTTCTTTTCTTTTGTTTTTTGGTTGCTGTGTTGTGGGTTTTTTTTTGTTCTCCGTTCTTGCTGGTTGTTGTTGTCTTTTCTTTGCAGGTTGGGTGATGGCTTTATAGCCATCACCGGCGCTTATCTCGGACCGGTCCTAAGGGTGGAGTTCGGTGAGTCACCGAGCTATGTGGTGACTCACCCCATAGCCGCGACGTGTGGGAAGCAACGACGTGTCCCTAGGGTGATGATACCCTAGGGTTTCCTCTGGCAAACTGTGGACCGTTGGATCAAACCAGATCCAACGGCTGAAATTGATGATGGCGGCTGAAAATGATGAAACCCTAATCAATTTAGGGTTTTAGTTTATAACTTGGCCTGGATCAAGTTGGGTCTGGGCCAGTATGGGTTGTAATTGGGCCTCCGGTCTGGTTTGTAATTTGGGCCTGTAATAATATTTATTAATAATAAAATAATAATAATAATAATATAAATAATATTTAAATGAAAAAATGAGTATCTTCAAACCGTGAAGGAGATTTTGGGAACTTGAGTCTCTGTTGGCTGTACGGTTGATGTCAAAGACCCTAAAGATGTGCAGGAGGAAATTTCTGAAGGGGAGGTTGATATCCCCTTGGAGTAAAACTAGTGATTGGTTTTCTTCTTTTTTTTCTTTTCACAAGTTTTTGGCGATTGTTAAAAATGATGATGATGAGTTAGTTACCTACATGGAGTTAGGGTTTTATTGCCAATTTGATGATTGGAATGGTATTTTTGCTCTATGATTGAGTCATGGCTTTGAATATTTTTTATGATTGTGTTGGAATAGCTATGGATTCTGAGGGTCCTATTGATGTGCAAATATTTGTGTTCCATAATTTCCGACACATGGATTACGGTCTACCATCAATTCTCCCTATTTAACCTCTTTCCCCACATTCTCTACGTTCAACACAATTCCTCCCTTTGTAAATAAAGCATTTTAGAAAGTCTCAGCCTTTATTCATCTCTCTTCTTCCCACACCAATGAGGAAGAGAGAAAATTCATTAATCATCAAATAAAGATTCCATAATGGCAAAGAAAAGTTCGAAAAGATGTTCGTGGATGGTAATGGCAATGGAAATGGCTCCGCCTCCAATTATTTACCCTCTTAAGCCTTTCAATTCTCCACGTCTGGAAACCATTGCTGAAGGTGCAGCCTAAGGATACGGCGACAATGCATGAACACTTTTTAAATAGTATATTATATACGTAATGAAATATAGTATTTAAAATATATGATTCTATTTTAATTTTTTTTTATGTTATTTCAAGAAGTCTTTACATTCGATTTCGTTAGTGATAAGAAAAAATATTGTTTTTCTTACTCGAGTTTGAATAGATGCGTATGCAATGGGTATTATCAATATGTTAGGAGAATTCTAAACAATTATTACCTTGTTAAATTGTTTCGGTTCTAAACCTATCTAATTTTTAAAATTTTATAATCGAGGCTCAAATTATCATAACAAACTTGACTTGTAAACGGATCGAACGAACACGAATAAGAGTACGTTCATGTTTGTTCGTTTAATTTTAATCGAACAACTGAACTAACACGAACAACTTAACAAAGGGAATTTATTGTTCATGTTCATTAAGAAATTTAACTTGTTCGCGTTCGTTCATGTTCGTTCGTGTAAATAATAAACGAACACATATGAACAAACATAAATGAACGTAAACGAACGAACATAAAATTAATTGGGTTTGTATTTGAGAAGAATTTTTTTCTTTTCAAATAATTTTAAGATTTATATTTTCTTTAATTGATTTGAATACTTTTTTTTGTTTAGGTTTAAAATTAATTGAGTTTAAAAATATTAATTGGTTTAAGGTTAAAAGTTATCAATCCTTTACATTTCAAACGAGTCTGAAAAATATAAACGAACGAAGATAAACTAATGAACGGATTATGAACCAACGAGCCCTTTATTTGTGTTTGTTTATTTAATTAAACAAATATAAAATCTTGTTAATGCTCGTTCGTTTAATAAATAAACGAATATAAACGAACTTCCCGCCACACGATTAACGTTAGCTTTGTTTCGAGCCTAATTCACGTTCTTTTGTCAATTTAGTTGTTAGCTTAATCTTTAAACATCAGCTTAAATTTAATTTAAAAATATTTAAAAACATGAAGATCAAATTTAAAATACATATGTATACTGCGAATAATTTGAATCCAACAGTAAAAATCAAAACGGCTAATGTGTTAAGTATATATAATTTTTTTGGCTAAACTACACCAGATACCACCATACTTTAGGTATTGTATCATTTATACCACTGAACTTTTAATTCTACCAATTATAACACTGAACTTTTATTTTCGTTTCAACTATAGCACTGGGCCGTTAAATTCTTAACAACCATATCAAAACGACATCATTTTGGTGAGGTTTCTATGTCAACAACCATCAACCATGTCATCGTGTCATTGATAATTTAACAACTAGATCAAAACGACATCGTTTTGGCGAGGTTTCTATGTCAACAACCGTCAGCCATGTCATCGTGTAATTAATAATTTAACAGTTCAGTGGTAGAATTGAAATAAAAATCAAAGTTTAATGCTATAATTAGTAAAATTAAAAGTTCAGTGGCATAAACGATACGACAACTATAGTTCGGTGATATCTAATGTAGTTTACCCAATTATTTTAAATAATTTCTACAAAGGAAAATTTTTACTGCAGTTGCAAGGTTTTTTAGTAATGTTGTTTATAAATTATAAATTATTCTATTACGATTCAGTTAACGGTCGTATTCATAAAAGAATTTAACTGATATAATATTAATATTTTTTAGATTTAATTAGAAAATTTTATAATTTATAAATTTAATTAGAAAATGTTATAATTTATAAATTAATTTAGAATTTCAATTATACTTTCTGAAGATATAGTGAAGTTAACATTTAGAGGATGTTTGGATGGTGGAAAAGATAATTAACATGGAGTAATAAAGTAATTCTAACAGTAAAATTTTATGAACTTTTTATCGGAATACTAATCCCATTTCCTATAAATTTGGACTAAAATATCCTTGAATCGAAAGAATTATTTCAATAATACCCTTCCTTTATTTCAAAAGTTATCATTCAAAACCTGCTATACTTTTTTTTTATTGTTTTGCTTAACTATTTATTTATTATCATCTATATTTAAAAAAATAAGTTATAATCAAAATAAAGGAAATACCATAAAAGTTATAATATTAATTAGGATTAAAAGAATATATATATAATATTTACTCTTTTAATTTACCCATTTATCTTTTAAATTTTGTAAGAATATTATATAAATTTTATGAATTTAAATTTAATAAAAATAATATAACTTAAAAATAATAAAATAATATATATGTTTTTTTCGAACTTTTATATAAATATTTTTATTTAAATATTCATAATTTAACTTGTTAAAAAAATATATCATAAGGACAATTTGATAAAATATGTATTCTAGTAATCTTTTATTTCTTTAACCAAATACTGTAATCTTATATTCATGTCAAATAAACCAAACGCAATAATGTAACATTCCCAGTAATATGTCAGGTAATGTTACATTCTGGTGGCCGATGGTGGCGGCGATCAATGGTACACGACCGACCGACTGTCAACTGGTCTTCCTCAGGCGAGAAAGCTAGAGAGAATCGAGAGGATCTCTCGGGTTAGAGGGAGAAGAGAAAAGAGGAAAATGAGGCTTAAGATCTCATTAGGCCTAATAAAGGCCTATTTATATACCTCCCCAAACAGTGTCATTTTGGGGAGGGACCTGAGTATAAATACGGGTATGGAAAAATTAGCCCGGGGTCCCTATAATTTTGTAACTTTACAATTTAGGAATCAAAATCGTGTTTTATGTATTTTAATTTTGTCCTTTAATTTTATTTATTTACATTTTGATAATTATTGCATATATATATATACATTTTAGGATAAATACCATATTTAGTCCTTAATATGTTTATTAGTTTACATTTTGACCTCTCTAATAATTTAGGGTAAATCACATTACTGGTACATGAACTTAATATCATTTTGAATTATTGTAATTAATTTTAATATCTTATATATTAATCGTTAATTATTATTATAATGAATTAATATTAGTATTTTTACTTTAGGATTATTATTATAAAATATTAATATAATTTATATAATTTTAATATTAAATATTATAATATTATAATAATATTAATAATATTAATATTAAATTTTCAATATTTATATTAAGTTGTTTAATTTAGAAAAAAAATTATAATTACTACAAATACAATTTAATTAATAAATACCGGTACCAATTTTGGGCGTTGTGGGAATGCTAATTCTTTTCCATACGTAACCGACTCCCGAACTCATTTTTCTGGTAGAGCAGACCCAAATTGTATTATTTTAATAATATTCTTAGGAATTTTTATTAAAATAATATGACATTTTGGTGACCAGTCTCACCATATAAAAGATTGGTGGCGACTCTATAATTTGGTGTTTAATCTGATTCACGAAGGATAAACACTTACTTTTTCGAGACTAGTTATACCGATTGGGGTGTACTATTTGCACTCTCTGTCGCCAGGGTAGAGAAACGTCTCGACAGCTTGGCGACTCTGCTGGGGATGTTTTTAAAAAAAAATAAGAGTCCAGCCACCAATTTATTAATTATTTATCTTTGCAGTAAATAATAAATTTGTTTTATTTTGTTTTAATTATTTGTATTATTTTACTAACTTTTTTGTTTATATGTGTACAAATTTAAAATTTGGGTCATTAGAATAGAATAATATAATGTATATTATTTTTATTTTATGCTTTTCCCACCCACTGTGCACTGCATTCATGACATGAGCTAAAACCCCGCTCTTATCCTGTTTAAGTGAATGAGAAACTATTCTCTCGTGTGGTTTTCACCTCCGTATGGGATAGGGGACCATTATTTGAGCTCACACTTTATGTTCCGCATGTGGTTTTCACCTCCGTATAGATATAAGGAAGTGTGTTCCTTCGAATTGATCTTAATCTGAAAGTCTGTAATGGACCAGGATTAAGGGTTTGGCAGTCTAAGAGGATACCAACAAAGAACAGTTCATTGACCCTTTTTACCCTAGAGCCAAAACCCAACATATAATGAAACTTAGAACTTAGGTTCAGACGAAACCAGACCAATTAAGATTTAGCACACAAGGAAAAACATGTTGAGTCTTTTATTTTTTTTTTCTGAACAAATGCATGCGAACTAGAAATCATGTGGTTAGGTTTGTTGTTTAAATAAAATTAGGCTTTAATTTTTTTATTTTATGCTTCATTCTCATTTCTGCATTTTGTATTTTCATATCACGGTGTTAATTCATGACTGATTTCATATAGAGAGCTATGAATATGGAACAAAGAGTCCAATATGAAGTAGAAGATAATGCAATCGTTTTAAGATGGTCTGAGCAATCTCAACTTGTCAAGGGAAATAGTCTATCACCTGGATACGTGTCAGATCTGGTCAAATATACACATATCAACGCTCGCCAGAATAACCTAGGTGAGTTAAAAGAAATCTGAGAGAAATGGGAAGCCGCAAACAAGCAACTATTTCATCAGTTATATGGCGACATTGCTTATGTTTTGGACATTCCTATTGA